TAGTAACTTGAATTAGCTCTAATTTAACCTACTATGCAACTATGTATGACTCAACGAACTAAAATGCAAAATGAATTATTGAACGCAAATTTGATGTAGTCAATGAATATAAATCGCACTAAAATCACGAATTTTCAAGCAATGCTCACTTTTAACCCTAATTTGACGAATTGACAACACGTTGAATTTTTGAAGAATCAATACTCCCAAATCTATCCAACAGTCTCTCTCGAGTAAAGTTGAATCTACTCTTATACATTACAAACCCATATCTCTACGATGAGTGTGAATATACAAAAATGCATGTAGTTTTGTAAGCACTTAAATATTCACGCAAGGCATAGCGGTATATCTCTATCCCCTATCAGATCCTACAATAATTTATATCATGTCAAACTCATTTCTCTTCTCTCGAATGCATAAAACAAGTTATCATATTCACACAATTACGTGCACAAAATTATGGAAACAATTAACTGTATATAAATTATTCAAAAATCAAGAACGTGTTTTGATGTCAAAATTGTAAAATTAGAAATTAAAAAGTTACATCACAACGTTCATTTATGTCCTAGTACATGAAAATCTAGCCTAGCATAGATGAAATAACGAAATACACAATAACTTTAAGAAACGACATCACCTATATGAGATTCGACGTCTAATCCCGTTGATCTTCGCATTTCTCTTCGTGATTGTGGTGTAAAATATCCTCCAATATGTGTTTTCTTCTCTCCCAGGGTGTTCTTCCCTTCAATTGACGGCTCTAAGGTTTTTATACTGTGTCCCACGATTTAATTCCACAAGAGTTTGAAGTGAAAACGGAAACTAAAAATTGCGCCCTCCGAAACAACCATGCAACCGCATGGTTCAATCAAATGGCTCATCTTGTTTGTTTGAATCCCACCATGCGACCACATGGTGACCTAATTTCTTTCATTTCTTGCCAATTAAGTCCCCAACTTCAAATATATTGTGTTTTGACATCTTTTCTTGTTCCCTCTTGTTCTATTACATCGAATCTTCAACAAGTTGGCCCTTGAGTGTTTCACATCTTCATTTGGGCCGTCGGTTCGCCTTTTGGCTTTTTACATTTTAGTCCTTGAACTTTCATTTTTTCCATCTTGGTCCATTTTCTGCATTTTCTTCTTTCTAACTTCCCATATTATCACCAAAGTGGTACTTATCTCATTCACCTTCTATATTCGTCCTCCATGTCTACTTTCAATTATTTGCATTGTAGTCCCTGAACTCTCATTTTCTTTCGTTTTGGCCCCTTTTGTGTCTTTTCTCGTAAATTCCACTATATCCATCAATATGATCCTAAAAAATGAAATTACATAGAATTAAGTCATATTCCATCAATTTCATTAACAATTAATCATGTTTTGTGGACCGAATAAATGTGTAAAAGCACACTTGTCAAATATCTTAAATATTTGGACTTTTAAATAATTTATATCTTTAGCTTTCATTATCTTAAATGGGTCGAGCCCCTGAAGCTCATTTTTTAAATTGGTAACACTAACCAACTTCAGAATATAAAATTCGGGACTTTACAAAAAGAGTGACCTAGAATATGTAAAATATATTATTCAAGATTGAAATGGAGAAGACTAAATAGTCTAGGAAAAAAGTGATATCAAGTTGGAAATGAAGTTTGGAAGTGAACAAAATCCATGAGTTGAGAGCCTTAATATAGACGTTGAAAAATTGTGTCAAAAGATACGACTATTGAAAACTTGTGTCAGAAAAAGCACAATTATTCAAACAGACAAGTTTGTTAACAATCAAATTCTAGAGGATGAGTTACGTTTCATTTTTTTGAAAGGTTATAAATAATATGCTCAACCCAGCCCGACATGCGACGGCTCACTTATGGGTTTGGCCCCATTCATACATTCAAAAAACTATTGATACAACCTATGGTCAAAACTCAAGTGTCAAACTTGAGCTAGACAAAAGTGACCTTTTAGCTTCTAGTTTTCCAATGTGGGTAGACACTTATTTTTCCCTCAATTTTAATTTCAACTTATTGCAACTTCTTTTACCCTTAATTTCTCATTCAACTGAAATTGATCTTAAGAAAAATAAATATACAACGTTAATCTACTCACTGAGTAAAACACATTCGGATTAAAAATATTTTATCCAACTATCAGAACTTAACTCAAATAATAGTAAAAAATTATTCAAGCCAACTTTAGTTAATAGAGAAAATTAAATATAAATAGGTATTTTAGTTTTCCAATTCAAAAATCAGGTCTGAGGTTTACTTAACCAAAAATTAGGCATTAATTGAATTATTAATAATATTATAAAATTTATCCACCCCACCCACCCCAACCCCACTACAAAACCTTATTTTTCCATCCTCGTCTCACTCCTCTCTCTCTATCTCTCCACCTTCTCTTCATACATCCCTCGCACAATTGACGACGCTCATTTCTCCCTCTCGAAAGGCAACGACGCTCACAGGAGCATCGCTATTAGGAAGTGGCACTACAAGTCGAAGCTCTGGGCACAGTGATGCTTACAGTGCCATCGTGCATAGCGATGATGATGCAGCTATATATGGCCTTACACAGCTCCACTACAAGCACTGTGATGCAGCTTTTCTCGATCTATTATAAATCTGAGGTTCTGATGAAGATTGGTAATTGTGGATTAATGTCCACTAGTGGTGATGGCGACGGTGTGTATGAGGTGGTGATGGAGACTCACCATTTGTTCACAACTCTCAAGTCACCGAGCTAGGCCACAAACCAATGTCCACAAGTCACTATAAATAGGTCAAGGTCAATGTCGACAAGTCATAGATCAATATCTACAAGTCATAGATCAATGTCAACATGTCACAAATCAAATAAAATTAGTCACAAATTAATGTTCATATAACACAGATCAATTTAATTGGTCATAAATTAATGTCCACGGGCCACAAATCAATTAAAATTGGCCATAGATTAATGTCCAAAGGGTCATAGGTTCCACGTAACTGGTCATATGTCGAAGTACATATGTCACAGTTCACAAGTTCAGCAGATATGTTCACATGCCATTGATTTCTCCAACCTCCGTTATTCGAACTGATCACAAATTCAATTAATTAGATTTCGGTGGTTATAATTGTAGTTATTTGCTCCGATAGGTACTCTGTAAATTACGTCAAGGACTATTTTCCCATTGACAATTTTAAAAAATAGTTTTAAATTATACTAGAACTGTTGAGTCACAGTTGAAGAAGATGATCAGTCGTTGGTGATATTCAGTTGATATTCTTCAATCTACCATTTGAGCCAACGATGCTCTGTCGCCATTGAGCAATGATCAATCGCCATTGAAGAAGTTGCCAACAAGGTGGATTTCAGCAATGGGTGGGTGCCGACGACTATAAGAGAAGGATGCTGCTGAGGGGGTGTGCGAGGGTTGGTGTGGGACGGTTGTTTGGTGGAGTGGGTGTAGGTAGATTAATTTAATTTGATAATATTAATTATAATTAAAATAGTGAACTAACACTTGACTTTTGAATTTTTAAACTTGATGTTTGGAAATTGATTTAGTGTGTACTTAATCCCTGTTTGACAATCATTGTCTTCAAACTTTTTTTTTCTACATATTAATTTTCAATCATACATTCACACATTAAAATATTTTGTACGTAAATTCAAAATTTTTCTTTACTTTTTAATTGTACATTCTCCTAAAAATCACTATTCAAAACTATATTTTCTCCTCTATAATAGTTGTCAAACAGGTTTTAATATCTGACTTAAAAAAAAAAATCCTAGTTAATAATCTATTTCCAGCAAGTTCAATAGAGCACATGTGCAATTTAGCTCAACTATTGGTCAACTTACGTTGCATACGAGTGGAATTGGGGCAGTCATTTTAGAAGGAAAAAAGAAAAGGGTGGGCGGAATTCTTGAACAAAGAGTGTCGACATTTTTTACATTATTTTTAGGGACCAAAAATGTATTCAAATATATTTAAAATTCTATAATAGTGTAGAAGTTTTGTGGAGCCACGAGACAGGCTCAATTATATGAAAATTTAGTAAAATAAAGTCGAGCTCAAGTTGTGTCGGTTTTCGATTGCCCATTAATTTTACGTGAATTTTTCTTAGAAATCTCATTCTCAGCCTATATAATATAAAAAGTCAATTTTGTTTTGTTCGATCCTTTTATTACAATAAAAGTTTCGTTGAAAAAAATTCTCATGTTTTTATAATAATTTCTACGAACTAAAAACCTCATTATCTGAGCAAATAATGCAATATAATTAGAGAAAACGTAAAGGGTAATTGGCGCAAAAGGTCTCTACCTTTTGAGGTTATTGTGAAAAATGTCCATACCTTTCATTTTTTGGCATTTTTGCCCTTATTTCTACCTTTCGTTGCGCTAAAGGTCCTTTTCATTGTTTTGGAACGTAAAATGACCAATACACCCTCATATTTAAATAAAACAATAAAGAAAATTAAAGAACAAATTGCAACAATAGGCCCAAACTTTTTAAAAGTGCAAATCAGTCCAAAAATCTTATTAAACCATTTAAAAAAAATAAAAAACTATCTCCTCTCCCCTCCACCTCCTATAATCCCCAAAAACCCATACATTCAAACTTTATGAACCAATAATCCCCAGAAATCACAATTGACGTCCAACTCCAATAATTCCTACAAACAGCAAAAACAACACAAAAATCTGAAAATCATTTATACACATAACAATTCCATAAGTTTTCTGCAATTTTAAACAATGCTTAAGGAAAAATTAATTCTTGTGGCTTTGTGTGTGTGTTTTTATTTTTTTTTTTTATTTTTATTTTTTTTTTGAATTCACAATCCATGTGCTAAGAAATAATTATCATCCATAAAGATCAAATAACATTGTCTATGGAAATATGCATTGAATAAGTTCAAGCATAGAAAAGAGGGGTTTTTTCAACTATCTCAAAATGGAATTATCCAAGTCTATGCTATGATTCCATACTTTGTAAGGGTAGAAACATCAATACTTAATATGTTTAGTTTCCTTTTCAGACCTATTAATCTTGAGCAAGAACTAAAGGAGTACTTGGGTCGCCGTACAGCACTCGAGGATCGGAAATTCTAGTTCCAAAAATCAGGAAACGGATCATTGGAGAATGATTCTGTGAAATCGAGGCTCCGGGCTTGCCAGTTTAATCCCAGGTAGCGACTCTAGGATGGCAATGGGTGAGGAATCACAATTAATTGGGGTCTGCAAGGCGGTTACTAGGCAAAAAGTCTGCCCCAATCGAGATGAGCCAGAGTAATTCTTGTGGCTTTGTTGAGGAAGAGAGAAAACCCTAGAAAAATCTGAAACGCAATATAATTCGGATTTTTCGGAGACTTTCATGAATGTGGCTGGAGCTATGTATTTATGGAGTTGGACACAATTAATTACCACTGATTTCATATGATATTACAGTAACACTTGTTTGATATTTTTTCCTTATTTTGAATAACATAAATAATTTGCTTTCAATCATCATCGGAGGTGGAGGGGAGAGGAGAGAGAGAATTTGTTTTTATTTTGTTTTTTGTTTTTTTTTTCATTTTTAATGGTTTAATAAGATTTTTGGGCTGATTTGCACTTTTTAAAAAAGTTTGGGCATATTGTTGCAATTTGTTCTTTATTTTTCTTTTCTTTTCTTTTCTTTGTTGTTTTATTTAAATATGAGGGTATATTGGTCATTTTACGGTTTAAAATAGTGAAAAGGACCTTTAGCGCAACGAAATGTTGAAATAAGGGCAAAAATGCCAAAAAATAAAAGGTATGGACTTTTTCCACAATAACCTTGAAAGGTAGGGACGTTTTGCGCCAATTACCCAAAAGGTAAATTCCACTGTGGATCACTAACCTTCGTAAGTGTGACATATGATCTCAACTTAAAAGTCCCAACCTTTTAAAATTGTGATAACCTTATTCCAATCAAGGACACTCGGTTGAAATAAGATGTGTTTCATGAACAAGAATTTTACCTTATATGAATTACTAAATGAAAGTTTAAGTCCCCATAGTTTGTTTTGGAAAAAAATAATTTTTTGAATAATTTTGTCGTTAGTCGAAAATTATATGAGTGTCACGTGATTATTTAAATATTTCTGCTAGGTGAGACACGGATGTTGCGGTTCTAAATGATTGAAAACGTGATCTCAACAATGATAGATTATAGACATGAGAATGTTAGGAAATTTCCCCTGGAATTTGGCTAGACAAGACGCAAAATTGAATGGTCTCCGCGTTTAAATTATTCACACCTTGGACCAATGTAAGAGTCATGTGTGTAGACCAAGAAATGGCAATATTCCACGTGTTTAATTTGAGTTTTATGCCTAATCTCTCTCTCTCTCTCTCTCTCTCTCTCTCTATATATATATATATATATATAATGAAAGAGAAACACAACTGTCTCTTAAGACAGTTAGAACAACAGCGTATACAAGGTTACAAACCAAAATAAGCCATGGATGAGTTCTTTCAATTAAACAACTTTTGGAATATGGAATGGCCTAATGAGGATGTTTTGGTGAATACAAGTGCTTTTGTTAGTTACATAAAACAACCCATTGGAGAGCTTGCATCAAAGAGCCATGGCAATGAGTCGAATCATAGGAACTTAAACAAGAGGATGATCGAGTTCTTGAAGACGACTTCTACCAGGATGAGAGTCGAGACAACTATTGAAACCGAGAACGAAAGAAACCATAAGCATATGATCAGTGAGAGGATGAGAAGAGAGAAGCACAAGCAAAGTTACTTAGCATTGCATAAACTGTTACCCGTTGGAACTAAGGTGATCACAAATTTCTTCATTCTTTTCTTGTTTTCGTGTATACATTATACGCGTATGCACTCAGATTTTTCTATAGTATGTTTGGTGTGCTCGACTCAACAAAACTTGACATGATCAGTGTTGTTTAGTACTGTATATCAAATGTATTGAAGCGTCCATGTTATTGTATCTAAGAAGTTTGCAATATGGATTGCAGAGTGATAAGAACTCAATACTCCACAAGGCAACCAAGAATATAGAGGACTTGCAGAATTACAAGGAGCAGTTGGAGAGGAGAAACAGTGAACTGGAGATGGTTTTGGCTGGAAAAGTTGATGAAAATAAGCTAGAAAAGGCACTAATTAAGTTAAAGGTGGCATATCCTGCATCAGGAATAGATTCTATGTTGGAGGTTCTTAAATGTTTAGAAAATACTGGATCCAAATTAAGAGCCATTCAATCAAATTTTTCACAACATGAATATTCTGCATCATTGGAGATTGAAACCAAGGTACTCTCTCTCTCTCTCTCTCTCTCTCTTTCTCTCTCTCTCTCTCATATGATCTTTATATTTAGCCTCCCGTTTGAGCCCGTTGCTCTCAAATTTTTTTTTTTTTCAGAACTCATTTCCAACCACACATTCTTTTACAAATAATTTTATATGTAAATTCAAAATTTTTCCTATTTTCTAACCACATATTCTCCAGAAAATAACTATTCCTAAATACATTATCACCAAAAAAAGGGCTGAACAGGGGCTTATTATGAGTTTGTTTAGATTAGAAGTTATATAGATAAATGGATGCATTTGTTCCACATCATTAGATGGGGACAGTAATGGGGGCGGGCCGCCTTGTCCTCACCACATTGGAGATTTCCAAAGAGTGGAGCAAGATGAAGATTAAAAAATCTCCATTTAATGTCATGTGGTTCACTTATTTATTTAAATTCGTTTAATACTATTTACATTTAAACACATAATAATTAAAAAAATAAGTGCAGGCGCGGCCCATGAAATGCCCCCTACCAACTCTTTTTTTAATTAATTAAATTGTATTTAAAATAAAAAATAATGAAATAAATAAATAGACGGGATAGTATGTAGTATTTTTTTAATTCATATTCTATCCCCCACTTTGCCGCGTGAAAATCCTCAATAGCGTGGGGGTGCGGGACAGGCCATCCTAACCCGTCTTGATTCGTCCTAAATATATTTTAGAATAGTATTTTGATGAAAAATATGTAGTTAAAACATAAAAAAATAATAATAATAAATTTATTGTAATATTATTTTATTAAAAAATATAAAATTAAAAATAAGAAAAAAATATTTTAAAAATAATGGAAACCACAAGGACTAAATGAGGAACTAAATTAGGCCTGGGCATCAGGTGGGTCGATTCGAGTATTTCAATACCCAGAATCACCCATTATGCTTCGGGTATTTTGCAAAATAAAACCATTCGGGTCTTTGTAAATATTAGAACCAAATCCAAACCCGAACCTTCGGTTTCAGATCTACCCATAGCATTTTATATACCTTTAGTTAATAAATATTTTACATAGACCTTTTTGGTACATATACCTAATACGCTGCTACTCGAAAATATTTGTGCAATGAAGAAAATTCAGTTAAAAAATTTTCAAAAAACAAAATATTGGATACTAAAAGCCACAAAAAATAGGAGAAAATAAAATAAAGATCAAAAATGAAATTATAACTTTAAAAAAATTTATTTTTTTAATAGATCTTATTCGATCTATAAGAGAAGCATACTAGGCATATAATTTAATTATAAACAATACTTAAATTCTTCTACTTATAAAACAAACTGATATAAAAATATTAATTAAATACATAACTAATATAGTATCAAAAAATTATGGTCCACATATTGAACTTACCCTGTATGAATAAAAAATAAAAATATATATTTAAAAAGAGAATCACAAATTCAAGATTAAAAAAAAAAAAAAGGTACAGCACAACGCAAGCAATGAATATATCAAATTCAATTGCCATGCATTATGGAAAATTAAAAAAAAATTACTTAAGTTTATTAATAATACAAGGAATTAAAAAACTTAAATTGCAAAGAATAAATGATTTGATTCATCAACTTATACCACAACCTGTTTAGAATAACTCAAATTGTAAACATTAACACATGATAACCTTTGAAATACAACAATCTGATGTAATGTGAGATATAAAAAAAGTAGGAGTCAATCTTATTTTTAGGATTAGAGTTTAAAGTTTTAGACTAATTACTATCAAAATTAGGATTTTTAGGTTTTATATGTTTTTTCAGTCTATAAATTGTAAATAATTTTTTTTATAAAAATCGGTTTCACTCAAGTACCCACAATTCTGGTTCAAGAACAAAGAATCAAATCGAACCTAGTTGATTATCGGTTCCGGTTCCTAATTTATTTTTCGAGAAATCGGACTGAAACCTTCAATTCTACTTCAGTTTCGGTTCGGAAGATTTGGTTTAGATTAAAATGCCTAGACCTAAACTAAACCGATCTATCAAGCTGTTTAAGCAAATTGTGTTGACAAGTCATTTATGTCAGACGACAAAACTATAAAAATGTATTTTTATTCTTCCAATGACTGTACCAAAATGGTCATGCTTTTCCACGTCCATCTTTCTCTACTCTTTATTTCATTTTGCTGTTATAACTTATGAAATAGCGAACACCAGATCACGTGGTATAATTATAAATTAATTATTGGTTTTTCATTGAATATTTTTTTCATAGATAAGAGCAGCAGACGTAGAGAAGGCAGTACAAAGAACTTTATCTGAAGTTGAAGGAAAATTTCAGTCTCCGTTCCAAGGAAAAGGACGCTGATTTGGGTGCCATTCTTGACCACTCGATTTGTCAATGCGAAGAAAAATATTAAGATGTCCTATGTAATTTGATATTAGTATTAGTTATGAAATCCTTGTGTGTTTCTTATATTAATAAATATCGTTACATCTTCACTTACGTAACAGGTCAGCTAGCTGTCAGCTAAGAATAATATAATGCAAGCACTTTCAAGGCGAGGAAGTGACATCCCATCATCTCTTTGACAAATATCTCCAAGGCAGCAAAGTAACATATCATCGCCTCATTGGCCACTAACTTTCGAAGCCTTAGGAACGTGGTCTAACGTCTTATAGACTAAGACCTTTGATGTAAATTAAGTTGGGAAAAAATTATTTCTCAAGCCTTAAGTTTAGGAGAATTTAATTTTAAGAGAACAAGTTTACATTTTCAAATCAGGTGGTAATTAAATTCGCATTTCTATTCTAGGCAGGAATTCAAATTAAAGGATTATAACATTCATTTCCGTTGATTTTATTTGAATGGGATTCCTAGTTTTAAATGAGTTCAAATGGAAGAAAAAATATGTTGATAAATGAATTCCCATTTGTTGGCTATTACTTATCAAATCTTGCTCTATAATCTGGTTTGATTTTGCCCATGGAAAATACCTCTTTAGCAAAGATAAATAGACACTACGTAATTTTATTACATTGGAAAAGCTATACTATGACTATTCTATGGACTCCCCGTGTTCTGAAATAATCGATTGAACCCTCTCTTTTCGTACCTTCAATTAATAGACCGATTTGACTAACAACACTAGATCAAATAGCAATAGAGACCTTTATTCCACTAGTTAGACCTTTCACTGATATATAAAGTAATTCCAACCTCTCTCCAGTCCGAGTCATGGTCACCCGCATTCGTTAGCCACCATCCCCTCTTAATGATGTTGGCATCCACCTGTTATCGACGTTGTAGTAGTCGAGAAAAAAATTTTGAATTATGCCATTATTTTGTGATGATCTAGCACCATGAGCCTAACCCATTTTAGAAACAACCTATGGTAGCTCAACCCATGTAAGATTACGAAAGCCCAAGTCATAAGTTAATTAAAAGCCCAACAATTTAAGAGATTGATTTTAAATAAAATTGATTACAAAGATTTAATGAATAACTAGGTTACCACAATGGTCATCTACATGGTATTTCATATAGGCAATCCAGGTTCGAATCACCATGTAGATGTTTTTTTATAAAACTTTCATATGAATTATTTTTATGGTTTAGACTCTTTAAATTCTTAATTAAAGACTAAATTTAATAATAATGCAACTCCCCCACTTAATTTTTCATTAAAAATAAAGGTTATAGAAGTGGAATGTCACTTTTTCACTACACTCCTCTTCAAATCCGAATTTCATCTTATTTTCTCGCAAAAAATATATTTCATATCAAGTTAAGTTTAAGGAATAACAAGGGTGAGAAGAAGGAAGACTTTCTATACATTTTGTCTTTTATCCAAGAAAATTTAAGGTAGGTTCGTTTTCAAATCTGATTTTTCGATAAATGTTTAAATGAAATGGTACCTTCGGGTATGGTGTTTCGGCACTACAATAGTTTGAATGATCATTTTTCGGCTCTACGTGTTATGATAAAGTTATAGTAATTAGATTTTGCCAGAAATCCATCTACGTGTGACGGTATGAATCTATAGTTTGAAATTTCTAATTTGATAACGAATTGCATCGATGATATCTATTGAGTTTCAAACTCATGGGTTAATTCCCTTTCTACAGGTTGAATAGATTTTTCTTGGGGCATAGATAATGGTAAACGATGATGCAACATGTCATGGAGAAACCAGTGATTTACATCTTTAGTTGATTTTGAGATATTTACACTTTCTTTAAATTTGATTCCTATAAATATTGTGTGGATCTATTTTACGAATACTCGTTATGAATAAATTATGTTTGAAAGTAGATATGTGTCATAGAAATAAATTTACAAATCACCGTATAAAAAAAAAAAAAAAAAGTTAGCGACTTAAAGTTTTGATGTCTTTTCAGAAATTTCAGTTTCTGCCTCATCTTTAAAAAAAATCATAACTCTTTCGTTACTTGGTATTTTTATACGAAACCAATTGGATTGGATAGCCTAATAAGTTAGATATTGAATAAAATTGAAATCATGTCAATCCAATATCGGTAAAAGGTTATATGTCACATAAAGTAAACTGTGTTGGGTGTTATCTCTGTTTTTCAGTTTCTACCCTTGTTTTCAAAAATTCATAGCTCACTAAATTCATAGCTCACTCGTTACTTGGAATTTTTTGATGAAACTAATTGGATTTGATAGTCTCATGAATTAAATACTGAATAAATTTAAAATCATATGGTTTTAATGTCGGTAGAATTTTATATGTCATTTTAAGTGAACTACACCAGTTTACCTTTCAAGCGGGTCGCTTCTGAGTTTTGAAAAATATTTTTATATCCCATATGACGTCGACGGAAGCTAATTTTTGACTATGTCATATTATAAGAAGTTTACTACCTTAAACTAAAATTTGATGAAGTTTCAAGGTCGATAGCTATGAAAACAAATTTATTTTGACAATTACTGTTTGAGACAAAAACTGGAACAGCAACATTACTTTTTAAGTTTTGCCAAAATTTCACGTCAATAGTCATTACATGCATGGAACCCATTCTAAAAATATTTTTTTTGAAATTTTTTTCTTTTAGAATTGAATTATTGTTTAAAAAAAATCTTTAATTAAATTCTAAAATTTAATCTTTATACCTTCTACTAAAAATATATTGAACTAATTTTACGGCTAAGGTACAATGGTTGAGTGACGTTTCCGTCCATACAGGTCGGGGTGTTACAACGTGGTATTAGAGCACGAGTTTAATCGATTCTGTAGACTTAGTGTATTTTATTTATGAGATTAAAAAATGAAACATTTAAGGCACTCCATGGCATCTTGCGTCTATTAGTTGACCTCATCCGACGAACCCAAGGTATGGAATAAAATATTATGTTCCACATTATTTTTTTTGAGTATGATTTTTTTTTTTTATCATTTAAGTTTGAATATATGAAAATGCTTATGATGTTTTGAATGAAATATGCTATGTACATTATATTTTGTTTAAATATACGTGAAGAAATGATGATTGGCCATCATATTAGAACCTTAAGAGCATAATGCATAAGTTGATATCACTAATGAAGATAACACATAATTAGACACTTATGCAACAGATATGGCTAGAACTTATCAGACCGCTAGAAAGGTCGCAGTTTGTATAGCAGTGTTGAACCGTAGGGCCATCATCTAGTCCTATGAGAACTATGTGACTGACCCGTCTCGTCCACTTGTTGAACAAGTACATGATATCTATGAGAGATGTATGGTAGCTGTAGATGCGGGGACTGGAGATCACGCATATCGAGGCTGTGAATAACCTTATACATTCACTTCCACCTCAGTGGGGAAACATGGGAGTTATTGTTAGGGATGAGATGCTAGAGGGTAACCATCCAGAGCACCCAAATACGATTGAATTTGGTATATATTGTCAGATCTTTCTAGACAGATGGAGTGAGAGTTTAGAACCCCAACCGGAGATAGAAATTGAGACCAATAATGAGGTTGAGGCTGAGCTCGAGCTCGAACCTCAGTTTGAATCAGACCCTGAGGAAGATCCCGAATGGGAGCATGAGGATAACTTTGGGTTGGACTTAGAGAATGATCAAAATCCCGCTCCACCTACACCACCAGCTCCTATTACTCTTCCGACTCACGTCTCGGTAGTTGAGTTATTTCGAAGGCATAAGCCCCCTACCTTCGATGGAGCATCTGATCCACTAGTAGTTGAGGAATGGCTTTGTAAGCTTGAAAGAATTTTTAGGCTCATAGACTGCACTAATACCCAAAGGGTTCAATGTGCGGAGTTTATGTTTACCAGTGATGCAAGTCACTGGTCGGGTTCGAAGTCCCGAACTAGAACTCCGGAGCAGCAATTGGCAATAACTTGGGAACAATTCAAGGAGAAAGTGATAGACAAATATTTTCCTCAATCTCTAAGGGATTTCAAGGAGAACGAATTCCTTCAACTCCAGCAGGGTAATATGTCTCTAACAGATTACGAGCAGAAGTTCGATCAACTCTCAAGGTATGCTCCACATCTGGTTGACACGAAAATTAAGAAAACCGAAGGTTCGAGCAAGGGTTAAACCCAGACCTAAGTATGATCCTTATGTCACATCGCTTCACATCGTACCGTGAGATGCTGGAATGAGCTCACGCTATCTGGTATCAAAAGGCTAATACAAAGCAACATCGTCAATTGTACAACCAGCAGGATAAAGGGCAAATTGGAAAGAGAAAGTGGAATAGTCAAGACAAAGGAAAGGGCAAATGGCAAAATAAGAAAGCTAATATCGGATCTAACGCCAGTAAGGTCATGGTAGCTACAGTAGCGCCATGCCCTAAGTGTGGTAAGCCTTATCGTGGTGAATGCTTGTATGAGAAGAATGCTTGTTTTCGGTGTGGCAAATCAAGACATATTGCTAGGGATTGTCCCACATTTGCTCAAAGGAAGGATGATAACAATGATCAGAACAATAAGGGGAAAGCACGAGTTTTTACATTGACTCAAAAAGATGTAGAGGGGAACTCAAACGTAATAACAGGTATTGTACTAGTAGCCAATACACCTGCTTATATACTGTTTGATTCAGGAGCTACTCACTCTTTTGTATCAACGTCTTTCATTGCTAAATCTAGTATTACTTGTAATAAGTCAAAGAGTATACTAGAAGTTAGCCTCCCCTCAGGCAGGACATTGAACACGGACAAGTTAGCTAAGTTAGTGAAATTCGATATTGAGGGAAAAACCTTAGAAGCTAATTTGTATATGATAGATATGAAAGATTTTGATGTGATTTTGGGCATGGATTGGTTAGGATGTAATTATACTACCATTCGTTGTAGAGAAAGGGAAGTGTCTTTTCAAAAACCAGGAGAAGAACAATTTTCTTTCTTCGGAATAAAGACCAAACCCCATCTCCAACTGGTTTCGACCTTACAAGCCGAGAAAATGTTGAGAAAAGAAACATCTCAAAGGTTTCTAGTTAATATCTTTGGAGAAAAACTGGAAACGACAAAGATTGAGGATGTAACAGTGGTACAAGAATTTATAGATGTGTTTCCAGAAGATCTACCGGCTATTCCACCTGATAGACAAGTGGAATTCACAATAGATCTGGTTCCCAGAGCGGCACCAGTATCTAAAGCCCCATTCAGAATGGCACCAAAGGAACTTCAGGAGTTGAAAATCCAATTACAAGAATTGTTAGACCTTGGTTTTATTCGACCAAGTGTATCACCATGGGGCGCACCAGTATTGTTTGTGAAGAAGAAAGATGGAAGTATGAGGATGTGTATCGACTATCGGGAGTTAAACCGTTTGACCATCAAGAATAGGTATCCTCTCCCTAAAATT